ATTGGACTAATAGTTTAATTAGTATTTCTGCATCCATGTTAATTAGAGAAATTGGTCAATGATTCTCTTTTGGTACTATCTTCATTGGATTCTCATGTCACAGAGCTTCCCATTAGATAGTTCTGTTTCCTTCTAATCATCGTTCATTTTTTTTTTTCCTGTTCTTGCTTTGGTTCTATTCTTCTTGGCCATTGCTCCAGCCCAGTACTGGGTGGAAGGATAACAGCAGGTGTTCTTGTTTTGCTTCTCGTTTTAGTGGGAATGCTCTATCCATCAAATCACTGAGTAGCTATTTCCTATAAGGTTTTCAAACAATATTCATTTGGGGATTAAGAAAATTCCCTTTTATTCCCTGTTTTCAAACAGTTATTTTGTTCTTTGCTTTTTGTTCGTAATTATTAAACTTTTCATTTATAATTATTAAAAATTTGACAGTTTTTAAACTTTTTCCAAAATGTTCTCAGTAATCATAGTTTTTCATCTTTTAATCCATTAGTAAGAAGAACTACATTAATAGATTTTTCTAATATTAGACTAACCTTGAATTCTGGAATAATCCTAATTTGTTATCTGTTTGTGTATGTGTGTGTGTGTGTGTGTTCGTTTTTTTTTTTGTTGTTGTTGTTTTTTTGTTTTGTTTTGTTGTTTTTCTGGAAGAGGTACCAGGGATTGAACTCAGGGGCACTCAACCACTGAGCCACATCCCCAGCCCTTTTTTGTATTTTATTTAGAGACAGGGTCTCAGTGAATTGCTTAGTGTCTTTCCATTGCTGAGGCTGACTTTGAACTCTCCATCCTCCTGCCTCAGCCTCCTGAGCCTCTGGGATTACAGGCGTGCACCACCATACTCAGCTCATTTTTTTAAAAAAAATATTATTATTTTGGTTTGTAATTTGGTCTTTTTTTGTACACTGCTGGGCTTGGTTTGATAATATTTAGTTTCAGATTTGGGCATCCATATTCATGAATGAGATTGCCTACAATTTTCTTATAATTATTTTATTTTGGTATCAAGATTATGCTTGCCTCTAACAATGAATACAATGCTTTTTCTTCCAGGCTTTCGAAGGGCTTTAGAAAATTTCAAGTTATTTTTCTCTGTTATAATTCACTGGTATAACCATCTTAGACAGGTGCTTTTTTCATAGGAACACTTTAAACTATTTATTCAATATTTTAAAAATTATAGGATCAAATTTGATGCCAGTCTCAGCATCTTAGACCCTAGGAACTTAGTGAGATCCTGTATCAAAATAAAAAGAGCTGAAGATGGAGATCAGTGGTAGAACACCACTGGATTCAATCCCCAGTACCCCCCCACACACCTAGCATGACCGCATAATGATCATTTTATGTGGTACTGGGGATTGAACCCAGGTACTCTGTCACTGAGCTCCAGCCCTTTTTATTTTGTTTTGAGACAGGCTCTAACCAAGTGGTCCAGGCTAGCCTTGAACTTGGGATTCTCTTGCCTCAGCCTCCTGCAATTATAGACATGTGCCACCCTGCCTGGCTTTTTATTCATTTTTATTTGGCTTTGATTTGAGTTGTGATCTTTTGGGACTTCACTCATTGCATCTAAATTTTTAAATATGTTACATGAAGTTTTTCAAAATTCCTTTTATTATCTCTTTCATATTATCAGCATAGCTGGTTATAATTTTTTAAAATTCCAACAATTATTTATTTGTGGCCTTTCTTTTCTTCTTAATCAGTTTTGGGGAGGGGGTTACTGGGTATTGAACCCAGAGGAGCTTAACCACTGAACCACATTCCCAGACCTTTTTATCTTTTTATTTTGAGACAGGGCCTCACTAAATTGCTGATACTGACCCCTTGAATTCGCTATCCTCCTGCCTCAGCCTCCCTAGTCGCTGGGATTACAGGTGTGTGTCACCGTGCCCTGCTCCATTAGTCAATTTTATTAGACTTTTCAAAGAACCAATTTGGCTTTCCTGTTCTTCCTTATTACATGTTTGTTTTATTATTTTAATAATTTATTTCAATGATTTAATAATTTTTATTATTTTAATAATTTCTGCCCTTTTATTATTTCTTCTACTTCTTATGGGGTTTTAATGCTGTTTTTTGTTGTTGTTTGTTTGCTTTTTGGTACTGGGGATTGAAGCCAGGGGCACTGAATCACATCTCCAGCCTTTTTTATTTTTTGTTTTGATAGAGTCTCACGAAATTCCTGAGGCTAGTCTTGAACTTAAGCTCCTCCTGCCTCAGCCTCCCTATTCACTAGATTTACAGATGTGTGCCACCACTGGCTCACGTTACCTATTTTAGGTTTCTTCAACCTTGTTTCTTTTCTAATAAAAACCCTTAAAATTTCAAATGCCTCACACGTATGCTGAAGCATAATTTTCTTTTTTATATATATATTTTAGTTGTAGATGGACATAATATCTTTTTTAAAAGAGAGAGAGAGAGAATTTTTAATATTTATTTTTTAGTTTTCGGCGGACATAACATCTTCGTTTGTATGTGGTGCTGAGGATCGAACCCGGGCTGCACGCATGCCAGGCGAGCGAGCTACCGCTTGAGCCACATCCCCAGCCCCGGACATAATATCTTTATTTATTTATTTTTATGTGGTGCTGTTCCTCACATGTGCCAAAACAGGTGCTCTACCGCTGAGCCCCAGCCCCAGCCCCAGCCCCAGCCCCATAATTTTCATTATTGTGCATTACCAAAGATTCTCTAATTCCGATCAGATCCTCTATACTTAAAATGTTTTTATTTTCAAACAGATAAGGTTTTTCTATTTTTTGTTACCAATTTCTAACTTACATTGATCAGGGTCAGAGAACATGGTTCAGCTTCATGTAGTTTATAGATCACGGCATGATGATATCCTTTCCATTCTTTTTTAGGTAATCTGTCACTTTGGTTTTGATTTTGCAAGGAGTAATTTAGAAAAGCACTTTAATTTCACAGAATATTAGCAAATGGTGTGGGGGTATTATCTTTCTACCATTGCTTTTCTTGGATTAAGGTTATGGTTCACTTCCTGAATTAAATCAGCCACATGGGAGGTGAGGTGGGGGTTCCTGGGACACAGCGCTCACTCCATGTCCTCCTCTGGGCTGGAGGTGCAGATACAGGACTTGGCTCTTTTGGTTCTCGGACCCCTGTGTGAATGTGGAGGGTGTACTCCTCCAGCCAGCTTCCCTGGCCAAGCTCCTGACCCTCCCTAGACATGGGAAAGCCTGGAACCCTGTGGTCCCCAGCATATACAGAGACAGCAGAGTTTGGGGACTCCCGAGGGCAGATCTCTAACTGCCCATCTGCTGCTGTATCCCTGAGAGACAGCCCAATGGAGTTTTAAAAATTGAGTTTTCATTTACATACAATAAACTTCACTCTTTTAAAGCGAGTTTAGGTCTTTTAATGTATCATATTTTGTTTGTCTGGTTCATTAACTGATGGATATTTGGATTGTTTCCACTTTTTTATGAATATGAATAAAACTACTCTCCCCCTCCCCCATACCAGGGATTGAACCCAGRGGACGTTTAACCACTTAGCCACATCCCCAGCCCTTATTGAAAAAAAAATTTATTTAGAGACAGGGTTTCATTGAGTTGCTTAGTGTCTTGCTGAATTGCTGAGGTTGGCTTTGAACCCACAATCCTTCTATCTTATCCTCCTGAGCCTCTAGGATTATAGGTATGTGCCACTACACCCAGCTCTGAGTAAAACCTCTATGAACATTCATCTACAAGTTTTTATTTGGACGTATGTTTTCATTTATCCTGTATATACATAGGAGTGAAATTACTGAGGCCACATGATAATTCTATCTATGTTTAAGGTTTTTTTTTTTTTTTTTTTTTTTTTTTTTTTTTTTTTTTTTTTTTTTTTTTTGTGTGTGTGTGTGTGTGTGGTGCTGGGGATCAAACCCAGGTCCTTGCTCATGCTGGCAAGCACTCTCCGACTGAGCTATAATCCCAGCCCTGTGTTGAACCTTTTGAAGATGTGAAGAAATCATAACTTGTTATCTGATGGTTAGGAGAAGGGAATCTGGAGTCATAACATTTATTATCAGCCTTTTTGATTTTAGCCATCMTGGTGGGTATGAAGTAGTACCTCACTGTGGTTTTGGTTTTTCATCTCCCTAATGACTAAAGCTGTTGAGTATCATGTATTTATTGTCCATTTGTATATTTTCTCCTTTGATCAAATTATTTTCACTGTGTGTTCTACTTTAGATATTATGGAAATTAGCCTGATTTTTTAAATTCCTGAAGTCCTGATTCATACACGTAAATCATAATCACTGCTAGGAAAAGATGGCCCCAGGTAGGTCCTGGAAACAGGGTCTTTTCTGGTGCCTGAACACAGGGAAGCACCTTGCCATTGTTTCCCATTAGTCTATGGAGGCAGAAACACTGCCTTCCAGCCATGGGTGGCCACAATAGCTACTCCATTTTATTTTATTTTATATTTTTTAATTGTTGATGGACCTTTATTTTATTTATTTGTATGTGATGCTGAGAATCGAACCCAGTGYGTCACGCATGCTAGGCAAGTGCATTACCACTGAGCCACAACCCAAGCCCCGCCACACTCCATTTTATTGAGCGTTTAAAGGTGCCAAAGTAACAAATTTGCAGAATATTGCCTCATTTCCTGCCCACAGCAGTCCTGTGAAGTATTACTATCATCACCCTCATTGATAAGAAAAACCAAGGCTCACTTAATGAGTTACTTAATTAGGTAACTTCCAGAAGGTCACAAAGCTATTAAGCTTCAGAGTTTCGATTCTAACCTGGTCTTCTGACTCCKGATTCCCTTCTCCTAACCATCAGGTATACTCCCTCCCAGAGAGAATCCAGATGTCCACTTCCCAGTCCCTCAAGTTCATTTCCATGAGTGTCTGGCCATAATCGTGCAGACAGCAGCTTGTGACTGGACCAAGGAGGGATGGGGGAGGTAGCATGGACTTTGCCCTTGTCTCACTGTTGCTCTGGGCTGCTCTCCTCCCCTGCCAGTTYGCCCAGTATGCTGAGATAGTCAACTTCACCCTCCCCGATGGGACTCAGAGGAGTGGCCAAGTGCTTGAAGTGGCTGGGACCAAGGCCATTGTACAGGTAAGTGGGCTCAGGGAGTCAATGAATGAACTGACAAAGTTCTCACACTATCTGACCAGCTGTGAAGCAGGCAATGGTCTACTTGCCTGAGAACACCCTGACCACAGCAGAGCATTCTAGGAGGGTCTAAAGTGGGAAGCCCCAGTCTCTCATGGTTAGAGTAAATACCTTTTGTCCCATAGGTGTTTGAAGGGACCTCCGGGATCGATTCCCAGAAGACCACCTGCGAGTTCACAGGGGACATCCTGCGGACTCCAGTGTCAGAGGACATGCTGGGTGAGGGATGGGGGTGGGGCAGGGGTGGGTGCCCCTCTACCCTCCCAACCCAGCTTCTCCGACCAAACCCATAGTGCCTGGCTTTGTCATTGCCTGTACACATATCTGCCTTCCCATGAGCTCTTGGAGGCTAGAGGTTGTATTTTCTCTGTTCTGACCTCGTCTCAGAGCCCACATACAGCAAATGTTCAATAATGAGGAAAGCAGGACCCTGCTTGAGGTCCGGCTGAAAGAGACTGCCAAGCCCTGCATATCCTCTAACGCTCTCTCAAGATCTGCCACACCTGGCTTGGTTTTCCCCTTATCCAGCCCTGGAAGCCCCTCAACTARAGTCATTGTGCTTGCTTTCTGGGATAAATGAGAGCTGATGGGGAGGGGGCTGTGGGCAGTGGAGGTGGAAGATAGGAGAGGGGTGGTGTGAGGCTGAGAGCTGAGGCTGGCCGCAACATCCTCCTCCACCACTTGCCTACTCTCAGGTCGGGTTTTCAACGGCTCAGGCAAGCCCATTGACAAAGGGCCAGTGGTCATGGCRGAGGACTTTCTGGACATCAATGGTGAGTGAGTGAGTGGAGGCTTTGGATATCTTTTAGGACCCAGTTCCTGACATCTTCCCACTTCCAGCCATCATTTCTGTCACCTTGTCCTGGAAGTTCTTTCTGGACACAGGCCAGAACCACTGACCGGCACTTTCCCAGGGCCAGGCAGATTAGGTGTGATGTGAGAGCATCAAAGGCCTCTCGTCCCCAAATCAACCACCAAATCTAAATGCTGCCCTCAGCACTCTGTGCCCAGCCCCTATAAAACAGTGGTGCACACCTGTAATCCCTGCAACTCGGAGGCTGAGGCAGGAGGATCACAAGTTCAGAGACCACCTCAGCAATTTGGTGAGGCTCTAAGCAATTCAGTGAGACCCTGTGGCTCAGTGGTTAAGCACCCCTGGGTTCAATCCCTGGTACCAAAAAAAAAAAAAAAAAAAAAATTGAAGTGCCATCATCATTGCATGGTGTTCCACATGCCCCCAGACCATCCCTTTTCTGCCCTCAGTTCCCTGTCCCCAGTCCCCAGATCTGGGGCCGCTGCAGCAGATCCAGCCCTCCAAGGCTGTCACATAGTGACATGGAGACTTTTCCCAACTCCTGCAACCCTAACCCATCAGTTTACTGAAGGAGTCATGGAGGCCCACGGAGGATGGTAGCTTGTCTGAGGCCACACAGCAAGCCAGTGGCAGAGCACAGAACGCACATCTGCTCCCACAGGGGTCTCAGATTGCCCTCAGGTTCCTGCACAAGAGCCATAGGTGGTGAGGCCAAGGGGTCCTCAGGCTGAGTTCCTACCACCTGCTTCTAATGCACCAGGGCAGTGCTGTCCAAGGTAGCACTGTGCTTGTGGCTGTTTAAACCTGAACCAAACCATATTTCATGTATGCAATAGCCACACGTGGCTGCGGACACACTGAGCCGCGCAGCCAGGGCACAGTTCTGTCTTCACAGAGAGCGCTGTCAAACTGCACTGCTCTAGAGTCTGGGCATGAGTGGGGAGGGCAAAAGCTGAAAACCCTGTTCCCTCCCAGGCCAGCCCATCAACCCCCATGACCGCATCTACCCTGAGGAGATGATTCAGACGGGCATTTCTCCCATTGACGTCATGAACAGCATTGCCCGTGGTCAGAAGATCCCCATCTTCTCCGCAGCCGGGCTCCCCCACAATGAGGTGAGGCCTGCAGAGGTAGCAGCAGCAGCCTTGAAGACCAGTGGGCCCCAAGCAGGTCTTCAAGGCTGCCCTGAGTCAGAGCGGCCCTCACTGTTTGAAAGAGCCCACTTGGAGCTCCCAGGGTGGAAAGCCCTGCCCGGCTGAGCTCCCAGCCTCCGCCTGCTTGTCCTAGTACTAGTCTTTCCCAGATCACACCTACTTCACTGCCACCACCAGGTATCAACAGCCAGTTCTCCCAGAGTAGTTGGTGTGACAAGGTTTCTAGACATTTCCCCCCACCCTTCCTGAATTCCTGAATGTGCCTCAGTTTACCCTCAAAATGATCTGGTGATCAGACAACATAAATGCCCTCTCTCTTGCATGCACGCACACACACACACACACACACACACACACACACCCTGGTTTGAGAGTTAGGACCCAATAGCCCCACATACTGAAGGCCTGGGGCAACTCTGTGCCCATATAATTCCAGCAGGCTGAGGGGGGATCTAGGGGCTCTGTAAGGCCCAACTTCCTTCAGACAAGTGGTTCAAACCATGCTAGGGCTGTTGCTCTTTGGAACTGTTCATTACTCAGTCTGTCCTGCTCCTCACCACAGGCTCTCTCAGTTCTCTAGTAGTCACAGAATAGCCCCCCTCCCCAAGAAAGCTGTGGGACCCAGGGCAGAACCTTCACCTCTCTGGGCTTGGACACTTGCTAGCAAAGGCCCTGATGGGAGGACAGATTGAAAAATCTCTCCATCCACCCTCCTTAATGGTGCCCAGGGGGCAGGTGCTGGGCTCTGGCCTGACAGCCTCCCTCCCCTCCCAACCCATTCTGCCTCAGATTGCTGCCCAGATCTGCCGCCAGGCTGGGCTGGTGAAGAAATCCAAGGCAGTGCTGGATTATGATGATGACAACTTCGCCATCGTCTTTGCAGCCATGGGGGTAAGAGAGGTGGGGCAGATCTGTCAGTTAGAAGCTGTGAACAGGCAGCCCTGGATCCCTTGGTCYCTGAGACAGCMTAATCTTCTGGGGGAGGCACAGTCCCTCTTCTTGAGAAGCTGTCAGAGTCTGGGCCAGTCTAGTGGGAAAGGCAAGAGTGTGACTCAAGGGGTGAAGGTGGGCTCAGTGACCAGAGCAGTGTGTCCCTTTAGGCATTCTGAAGGCCACAGCAGCTCTAAGATGGCCCAGAGTGGCTTGGAGAAGGAAGCCAGGGAACTCAGGGAGACAAGACAGCTCCGGAAGGGGATACCAGGGAGCCCTCAGGGGGCCCAAGGGGAGGAAAGGGAGTTGGGCAGGGCAGCTGGCCAAGAGAGGGGCAGGATGGCACTGAGCTCCTGAAGAAGTCTGAAATTCTTCTCAAGCCCCAGGGCCACCCCTGTGACTATGGCACCTTTACCCCCAGCAACTGTTAACCAGTCAGTTCACAGGCTTTCCTCAGAAAGGAGGGGCCAGGCGCTGCTCTCAGGCTACAGCCCTCCCTGCTCTATGTCCAGGTGAACATGGAGACAGCCAGGTTCTTCAAGTCCGACTTTGAGCAGAATGGAAGCATGGGGAACGTCTGCCTCTTCCTGAACTTGGCCAACGACCCCACGTGAGCCCTCCCCAGGTCCAGGGAGAAGACCCTGTTTCCTTCCAAGACTCAGGATACCAGCAGGGCTCAGGGCATTCCAGAACACAGCCATGGGACCGAGCTAGGAAAATAACCCCTGGAGGCGCAGTTGGAGARACTGAGGCCTGGGAAGAGCTAGGGATAGCCCACCAAGAGTCCCTGGGAGCCAGCTAGGACCCCACCTGCCACCTGCAGTCCCTCTGCTCTTCCCACAAGCTGCAACCAGCCACTATCCTAAGTCAGGGCCCTTCACCCTTGAGTCACTTCCACAGTCACCACTAAAGAAATTGTCTCTCTTTTTTTTGGGGGGGGGATTGCTATTTTGAAGGTTTAGAAAATAAGACTTAAAATATGGGATCAAGTGGATGAAAAAAAATTCTCATAAGATATCCTGGGTGTTGAGGGGGGGTCCCCAAACTAAGGAACAAAAAGTTGTGATGATATTACCAAGAGGTACCCAGTATAAGGGTACTGAGAAGTGCTCCAAGTAGAAAGGGTAGCCAGTGTGTGGACCACGCACACTAGTGTGCTCAGGGACAGGAGAGGCACAATGAGTAAAGTGACAATCCTGAGGACACAAAGCAAGCGCTCTATCTAAGACACAAAGCAGGTGCCCTGGGGTGAGAAGGAGCTAGAGCAGGCACTTGTGCCCCCACCCCACCCACGGGAGATACCCCAGAGCCCTTCACCTTCAGACCACAGCAGACAAGTCTGCTGTCTTCCTCACCCAACACTCACCCCTGCTTGGAATCTCCTACCTACCCACCCTCCTGGTCTCCGCCTCCGTCTCCTCCCCTCCCGTGGATAGCAGGTGAAGGGGTGAGGACTTGGTGGCAAGTGCTTGCTCCCAGGAATATGGACCTGACCTGGGGGCTGGGGTAGGGGCTCATCTTATCCATGCCCCGGTTACTGTACATAAGCCAGCTTCCCACTGTACCTTGTACTCAGCCCTGGGGTATGTGGGGCACAGGCCTGAGCCTTCAGGCTCTCTAAATACCAACCATGCCTGCCTCCAGGATTGAGCGGATTATCACCCCACGTCTGGCACTGACCACTGCTGAGTTCCTCGCCTACCAGTGTGAGAAGCATGTGCTGGTCATACTGACTGACATGAGTTCCTAYGCGGAGGCCTTGAGAGAGGTAAGCTGACCATCAAGGGGTCTCAGAATCATCCCTGCCTTGCCCTAGGCTTGACCTCTTGGAATCAAGGGATCATCCTAAAAGTAAGAAGGGAACTCGTCAACCCGGGCCTGCTGTCCTCATTGTGCGCCCCAGGGMTCAACTGCAGCCTGGCCTTTTCTCTCCCACCTTCCATTCCATTCCTCACAAAGTCACTGAAGCTTCTACCCATCTTCCTTTTTTCAGCCTCTTGCCTCCTTTCTTATCCCGACACCCATGGATCTTGCAGGTCTCAGCTGCCAGAGAGGAAGTGCCTGGGCGCAGAGGTTTCCCTGGATACATGTACACAGACCTGGCCACCATTTATGAGCGAGCAGGCCGTGTGGAGGGCCGGGGTGGATCCATCACACAGATCCCCATCCTCACCATGCCCAATGATGGTAGCCTCCTCAAGCACCCAGAGTCCCCCTTCCTCCCTTTCCCACCTGGACTCTTACAAATCCCATGCTGCTTTGCACAGATGTGCAGTAACTCTGCTCCTCCACCAGGGCCGATGCTATCCTTTCATAAGGGAAATAGAACCTGGGTGATCCCTGAGTGGGTGGAGACCACACCCTCATCCACACTGAGACCAGCGCATTTTCTTGTAGATATCACCCACCCTATCCCAGACCTGACAGGCTTCATCACAGAAGGACAGATCTATGTGGACAGACAGCTGCATAATAGACAGGTACTTGCTGCCTCCCTCCCCACTTTGGCTCTCACTCCAAAAGACCTGGAAGAACAGATGTCCACTACCTCCTCTGCATGAGCAAAGCTGACCCAATCAGGAGACATGCACCCAGGGAGGCCTGTGTGGGCCACAGCCTGGGTAGAATCCAGCCCACCTGGCCTGTGGGAACTTGAGAAAATAATCCCTTCAGAGTCTGAGTGTACTGGGCAAGAGTGGGGAGGGCAGGGAAAAGCTGGAAACCCTGAACATGGCTTCACCTGGGATTGAACCCAGGGGTTCCTGCATGCTAGGTAAGTGTCCTACCACTGAGTTATATCCCCAGCCCCAGGTCTTCTCTTCTGTGATATGGGAATAATAATACTTATTACACTGATGCATTGAGAAGCATAAAACAAGTCAGCATATGAGAAGTATCTGGCAGATAGTAGACACTAAATAAATACCAATTGTTTTCCCCTTTCCAGTTACTTGCTTTGCTGAGTAAAAACACCAGGTGTCTGATACAAATAGAATGTGAATAATGGGCTTTTTTATGAACTTAAGGTCACATCATCTTCCTCCCTCACCGTCCTGTCTAAAACCACGTGTGTAGTCACCTGCCCTACAATATATGCGAGATAAGAGGGTCAGGGTGTGACCGCTGACTTCTCTGTGGATGAATGAGGACGCGTCTCCTGAACGGGGGTGGGGGGTGAGACAAGCAGCTTGGGTGGGGTGGGCCCTGCTGTCTGCCACTCGCCTCCTCTGCTCCCCCAGATCTATCCCCCCATCAACGTGCTCCCTTCCCTGTCGCGACTGATGAAGTCCGCCATCGGGGAGGGCATGACGAGAAAGGACCACGGGGATGTCTCCAACCAGTTGGTAAGAAGGAGAGGGCCAGGGGCTGTTGGGTAATCTAGTTTCAGAAACTGGACGTTTGAGCTCTATCTGGACCGACAGGCTTTTCCCCTGGTAAAATTCCTTCGCAAAAAAGGGGAATCCCAAGGGCAGCCAGGTTTGGGGCCATCGGGCTTTGGTGGGAAGTGGGCGAAGCCGCCACCGCCTCTGCTTCCTCTTCCAGTACGCCTGCTACGCGATCGGGAAGGACGTGCAGGCCATGAAGGCGGTGGTGGGGGAGGAGGCGCTCACCTCCGAGGACCTGCTGTACCTGGAATTCCTGCAGAAGTTCGAGAAGAACTTCATCAACCAGGGTGAGGCGCGTGGCGGGCGCGGAAGCAGAACCTCTCCACCCTCCTTCCGCCCCATACACACAGCCCTCACGCTCCTGCTCGGTCCCTAGGACCCTACGAGAACCGATCGGTGTTCGAGTCGCTAGACCTGGGCTGGAAACTGCTGCGCATCTTCCCCAAGGAGATGCTGAAGCGCATCCCGCAGAACGTGATCGACGAGTTCTACTCCCGCGAGGGGGCGCCGCAGGACACGGTGTCCGACACTGCGCTCTAGCCCGGACGGAGCCTGGCGCAGCTGCTCGGTCCAGTTACCCCTGTCCTACGTGCCCGTGGTTGGCCACCTTTCCCCATTCGCCATCTCCCTCCCGCCATCTCCCTCTCCGTCGTTCCCCCGCTGCCCGCAATACCCGAACTCACCACTTCCGCGCCCACCTTCAGACCCCTACGGGCAATGGGGGCTCCCTAAACTCTGTCTTCCTAGACTTCAGCACTGGGAAAGACCACAAAGGAAAGCCCATGTCCTACTGGATTTTTATTTTAAATGAGTTTTTGCTGTGATCGTGGTGCTGCTGCTGGGGACCTAACCCAGGCCCTTGGGCATGCTAAGCAGCAGTTCTACCACTGAGCTACATCCCCAGCCCTGAATTTTTATTTTAAAAGCCCCCAAGAGAGAAGTAACAAAGATGAATTATCTTAGGTGAAAACAAGATTGACAAGAAAATTTGGTAATTGTTGAAGGTGCAAGTGATGGATGCATGAAGTTCCTTATACTAATCTCTCTTCTAAAAGGGGAGTGGGGTGGATGAGGAGGAAAGGAAGGAAGGAGAGAAAGGAAAAGAACAGAGAAAGAAAGAAGCTGCAGTAGTGCCTCAAGAGCTGACAATAGAATTCCTCTTAGGGATGTATTTGTCCTTGTTAAGAGGTATCTTATGTGTTTGGTTTTTAATAATTCTGCCCCAGAGAAACTGGGGAGGAAATTGGTTTGCTGCAGACAGGAAGGGAAAAGAGTCCTTAGGGAGATAGCCCGACAGACATGACAGCCCGCGCAGAAGGCTGGGAAAGATCCCTAAACTTAAGAAACTGGTGAAGAGCATCCCAAAATTCAGGATGCCTGAGGCATCCTTGGAAATGACCTGCTCTTCTGTGATGTCTTATCCTCCTGTCTCTTTGCACCATCTACAAGGGAGTCATGAATAATTCTTTAAAAAGCTTTGACTGGCGGGTGCACACGCCTGTAATCCCAGCAGCTGGGGAGGCTGAAACAAGAGGATCGGGAGTTCAAAGCCAGACTCAGCAAAGCAAGGCGCTAAGTAACTCAGTGAGACCCTGACTCTAAATAAAATACAAAAATTGGGCTGGGGATGTGGCTCAGGGGTTAAGTGTCTCTGCGTTCAATCCCTGGTACCCGCCCTGCCCCCCCCAAAAACAATAAATAAAATAAAAAGCTTTGACTGTCCATAGGGCTTAGAGTTGTTTTTATTTAACAAAAACTTATTGAGATATAATTCATACACTATACAGTTTACCCATTTATAATGGTACTACTTGACAGCATTTAGTATACCTACAGAGTTGTGCAACATTCACTTCAATCAATATTTAGAACTTTTTCATTATTTCCAAAAGAAAATTTGTACCCTGAGCCATCATCCCTCAACTACTCTCCACCTGTGCCCTCCCCAGCCCTAAGCAACCATGAATCTGCTTTTTGTCCCTACAATTTTGCCTGTACTTGATATCTCATATAAATGAAATTGTACAATATGGTTTTTTTGTGACTGGCTTCATTCTCTTATCAAAACATTTTCAAGGTTTATTTGTATTATAGTATGTATGAGCACTTCATTTATTTTATTGTCGAATAATATTTTATAGTGTGAGATCAAAACTTTTGTTTAGGCATCAGTTTTTGGACATGTAAGTCATTTCCATTATTTTGGCTATTATAAAAAGGCTACAAAGAACATTATATACAAGTTTTTGTGAACATATATGTTCATTTCTGATGAGTAGAATTGCTGGGTCCGATGGTAACTGGGTTTAACTTTTTGAAGAACTTCCACACTGCTTTCCCAAGTGGCTACACCATTTAACATTTCTGTCAGCAGTGTGTGAGGTTTCCAATTTCTTCACATCCTTAGCATCCCTTGTTCTTATGTCTTTTTATAGTTTTACTTCTTCCTTTCAAATTGAGATGACTTTCTTTTCATTTTCTTCTCTAATTTTTCTGGTTAGAACCTCCAGTATGTTGTTGAATAGTGTAACAAGAGTGAACATGCTCATCTTGTTCCTAATCTTAAAGGGAAATTAATTGGTTGTTCTCCATAAATGTGATGTCAACTGTGGAGTTTTCAAATAATAGCTTTATTGAGCTAAAATTTGTTCTAATCAAGTTTATTGAATCTTTTATCATGAGAAGAGTGGAACTTTGTCTATTGAGATGATCCTGGGTTTTTGATCTTTATTCTACCCATATGATATATAAACTTTGTTTTTCAGATGTTAGACCAAACTTGCCTTGTTAGGATAAATTCTATTTTGTCATAGTGTACAATCCTTTTATATATGTTATGAATTTGGCTTGATGGTCTTTTGTTAAGGATTTTTTACATCTACATTCACAAGAGATGTTAGTCTGTAGATATTTTTTCTTATGATGTTGCCTAATTTTCATATCAGAGTAATACTAGTTTCATAAGATGAATTGGAATTGTTCATTCTTCTATATTTTTAGAAGCATTTGGGAATAATTGGTGTTAATTCTTCTTTAAATGTTTGGCTTGAGCTTTTCTTTGTGGGTAGTTACTATTACTGCTGCTGTTGCTACTAATTGAATGTCTTTAATTTCTATTTGTCTAATCAGATTTTCTATTTCTTCCTGAGTCCTTTTTGGTAATTTGTTTTCTTACAGGAAGTTGTCCATGTCATCTAAGTTAGCTAAGTTTCTAGCAACTAATTGTTCCTAATATTTCTTTGTGATCCTTTATATTTCTGTAAGGTATATAGTAACATCCCCTCTTTCTTTCCTGACTTCACACATTTTAGTAAATCTCTTTTCTTCTTGGTTGTCTAAAAAGTTTGCTGATTCTGTTGGTCTTTTAAAAAAGCCAACTTTTAATTTGATTTTTCTATGTTTTCACTCATCTCAAAGCAGTTTCTAGGGCTAGGGATGTGGCTCAAGCAGTAGCACGCTCGCCTGGCATGCGTGCAGCCCGGGTTCGATCCTCAGCACCACATACAAACAAAAATGTTGTGTCCGCCGAAAGCTAAAAAAATAAATATTAAAATTAAAAATATATATATTTTAAAAAAGCAGTTTCTAATTTCCCTGGTGATTTCTTCTTTAGCACAAGTCTTTCTTGATGGCCTAGTAGATTGTCCTCTGCAGAAGGCTTTGTGTGTACTTGAGAAGAATGTATTCTGCTGTTGTTGGGAAAAGAGTACTATAGATGTTTGCTTGATCTAGTTGTTATTCAAAAACTTCTAATGTTATTCAAAAAACTTCTGTTTCCTTATTGTACTTCTGCCTCATTCTATCCATTCTTGAAAGTGAAGTATTGATGTCTTCAACTTTTATTGTTGAGTTATCGCTTTCTTTCAATTATGTCAGTTTTTGTTTCCTATATTTTGGGGCTCTGTTGTTAGTGCATGTATGTTTATGACTGTTACATGTTTCTCATAGATTGGCCCTATTATTATTTTTTTTATAAAATAGTCCTCTATCTCTAGCAACAGTTTGCTTCTTGGGTTAAAGTCCATTTTGATATTTGAATAGCCACTTCAGCTTTCTTACAGTTGCTATCTATATCTATATATATATATCTACTATATATATCAACAGGCTATCTAATATATCTACTCCTGTAGATAATATATAGTTGGAAATTTATTTATTTGTTTATTTTATATCCAGGATTTAACCCAGGGGTGCTTTACTACTGAGCTACATCCCCAGCCCTTTCTATTTATTTATTTATCTTATGTTGAGACTGGGTCTCACTAAGTTGCTGAGGGCCTTGCTAAACTGCTGAGGCTGGCCTTGAACTTGCAACCCTCTTGTCCTCTAGAGTTCCTGGGATTGGAGGCGTGTGCCATTGTGCCCAGCTTGGAAACTGATTTTTATGCAGTCAGAGTGTTTTACTGCATAAAGATATACATACACTGTTTGACTTTAATTTTCCATTTGTTTCATGACTTTTGTTTCTCTAGTCCTCCTTTAATGCTTTCTTTTGGATTTGAATATTTCCTAGTATAATATTTTAATTCCTTTGATAATTTTTTCACTCTATTTTTTTTTTTTTTAGTTATTTTCTTGGTGGTTATTCTAGGTCTTACCAAAATCACATTAGCTTATCAGAATGTATTTCAGATTTATGGTAACTTAACTCCAGTGAGGCATTGAAATATTATTCTTATGTTCTCTCACTTACTTGTTCGTTTGTGCTGTTTTTGTTTTGTGAGGGTTCAGATTATGGCATGAGGTAGCTTCTAGCCTGAAGAACCTTCATTATTAATTCTTATAAGGCAGGGATTCTAGCAACAAATACTCTAAGTTTTTGTTTGTTGGGCAATGTATTTATTTTAATTTTTTTTCTTTTAAATTAGAGACAGGGTTTTACTGAGTTGCTTAGGGCTTCACTAAGTTGCTGAGGCTGGCTTTGAATGCATGATCCTCCTGTCTCAGCCACCCAAGCTGCTGGGATTGCAGGCGTGCACCACTGCACCTGGACAATTTTGAAAGATTATTTTTGTTTTTGGATATAAAATTCTTAGCTGACAGGTTTTTTTCTTTACTGCCTTCTTGCACTCATTATTTCTAATGAGAAGTAAGTTGTTAATCTGATTGGGGTTCCTTTGTATGTGATGAGTTATTTATCTCTAATTTCTTTCAGATTTTTCCTTGTCTTTGTGTATTTTTTGTACAATGTACCTGAGTGTTGATATATTTATATTTATCTTACTTGGAGTTTGTTGAGCTTCTGAAATGAATAAATTAATCTTGTTTATCAAACCTGATAAGTTTTCAGTCACTATATCTTTAAGAATTTTTCTCATTCTTTTCTTTTACATGTCTTTATGATATTCTCATTATGTTTGGCCTGAGCTTTTCTTTGTGTAAACTGAGGTGTCCAGTGGTCTCCCCTCTCTTTTTCTTTCCTTTCATTCTTTCTGTTCTTTTCTTTTGGGGCTCTATTCTTTTATTTTTTCATTCCTTTCCCCCTCTATTCCTTGTATTACCTATTACCTCTATTGTTTGCCATCAGTTTTCTGATT